TACGTTTTTTAATCAAATATCATATGTCATATCAAAATTCAAAACTCATAAACAAACAAATTTTTCACACTCAAATCATAATTCCAAAACTCACAAATTTAAAATATAACTCTATTCTCAAATTACAATTCTAAAAACTCTACCAAACGCTACCTAAAGCTGTGTTTGGTAGAGTTTTCTAAAATTAATTTCACCCTTACATTCTAATACTATGTTTGGTTTGAGTTTTCAAATCATTATTCCAAATCAATTTCAAAATACATTTTGAAAACATATTTGGTAAAGCACAATTTTTGAATTTTTGGTCATCCTGTCCTCTGCCCAGACATCTTTTTTTTTTTTGTAATTACTAATCGCCACCTATTATTTGGAAAAAAAAATTATATTTGTTTTTGATATTTTTTAAATATATAAATTATTTTTAGACCAAAATGACAAATTATTTTTTTGAATTGAATTTTAAAAAGAGTTTGGTTATGAGTTTTGTATAGAATTTTCAATATAGTTTTGAGTTATGTGTTTAGTTATGAGTTTAAGTTTTCAGTTAAGTTTTGAATTTTTTTTTCAAAATTCATAACCAAACAATTTTTCTCATTTCATATGGCACATCAAAAATTCAAAACTCAATTCAAAATTTTTTTCGAAACTCGTAACCAAACAAATTTTCTCTTTTTAAATCATAATTCCAAAACTCACAAACTTGAAATACAACTCTATTATCAAATCATAATTCTAAAACTCCACCAAACACTAACTTCAATTTTCACAAAAAAATTTCTCTGATTTCACTTAGAAATTTCAAATTTTCTCTAATATGATCACAGAGAAATTTTATCAAGGGACCTTAACTAATAAAAAATAAAAATTAAAAATTAAAAAAACATCTTGGACATTTCTTACCACATGAAATTGAAGAGGGATGTTTAACTAATTTTCTCTTAAAAAAATATTCTATTCTAAATGTGAAAAAAAAAAAAAAAATCCCAATTGCTTGGTTCCATTTTTCCAAAAACATTTTTCAGAAAATTAAACTTTTTTTATTTTTCGTGTTCTTTTGTTTTTACTGATTTTTTTTTAAATTATTTTAAGCAATTTTTTTACTTTTTAGACACACCTAATATAAATGCATCTAAAAAGTAAAAAGATTGTAAAAAAATCTTTTAAAAATTCACTAAATACCAAAAATATAAAAAAAAAACAAGAATTCAGTACATTTTTTGTATTTTATGTATTTATTAATTTTTTTTGTTAAAAAATATTTTTTTTTGCTGAAACAAACATTACAGTATAAATTAACAAATGTCATATCAATAAACAAAAATAATTTATAAAATATTACTCACATTTATATGTAATTTTAAAAACTGTAACACTTAATTTCTTTATTTATTCTCATCCGTTCTAAAATAATGGTTACTTTTGAAGAATTCAACTTTTTTTGATAGTACAATTAATATATTTTAAAAATGCTAATTTTTAAAAATTACTCTTTGATAGTATATTTTTTGATAATATCAATTGTCATAATTGTACTTTTTGTGTTATTAATGAATTTAAAATAAGGACAAAATAATAAATGCATATTATTTTATTTCTTAATTTTTGAAAATGGACTAATATTTTAGGACAACTTTATTTATTCTCATCCGTTCTAAAATAATAGTCCCTTTTGAAGAATTCAACTTTTTTTTATAGTACAATTATTATATTTTAAAAATGTTAATTTTTAAAAATTACTCTTTGATAGTATATTTTTTGATAATATCAATTGTCATAATTGTACTTTTTGTGTTATTAATGAATTTAAAATAAGGACAAAATAATAAATGCATATTATTTTATTTCTTAATTTTTGAAAATGGACTAATATTTTAGGACAACAAAAAATAGAATGAGTGACTAATATTTTAGGTTGGATGGAGTAATTTTTTCCAAATAGAACTTTTATGACAAAAATACTCTCAGCTATAGGATAAAATCACATTCTACCCTTACGTTTTGTCGCTTTGAATTATAAATTATATCAATATAAATCGTTTGTTAAGGATTTATTATATAAATAGATAAAAAAAAATTGACATATCTTACGCATGACACCTCAAATATTATAGAAGGTCTATATTCTTTTTTTATTTTTTTGTTTTTGTTTTTGTTTTTGTTTTTCTATTTAAGGCAATAACCGTGGTTGCCATAGTGTAGAAATGTCGGTTTGACATGGGTAAGACAAATAAGGTAAAGTGAAAGAAAATAACGAAAAAGAACAATAAGGTGTTTTAAGTAGGTCATAAAATTTGAGATATCATTTGCAAGTTATATATTAATTTTTCATCAATACATGATGTAATGGAATCTTAAAGGAAAGTTCACACTATAATATGATAGTTCTAGATGAGAAAATGTAATTTTTTTTAATTGACGGTGGTAGAATGATATATGATAATTCAAAGGGATAAAGTGTAATTTGTACATATAGCTTAAAGAGTATTTTCGTTATTAAGATTCAAATAAAAATATATGCATATATATATATATATATATATTAATAAATGAAGGGGACTAAGTGTGGCAATTTTTAATTTAATAAAGTAATATATGACATAGTTTAGAGGGTAAAGTGTAATTTGTCCTTCAACTAATCCTCAACCTTATTTTGCCTTTAAAAATCTTTAATAATTAAATATTTTAAAGGTTTTTAGCATGGTAGGTTTATCCTTCTCATTGGTCCCAAATTTTGATGATTTTCATTTCATGAAATTTTTTATTTTATTTGATAAAATTACAACACATAATGAAAAATGAAAAATAATAATTACCATGTTATTATAAATTTAAAAATTTTCCTTTACGATCACTATAATTTTTCATTCTATCAGACGAGTGATGTCACTAAAGAGCATTACCAAAATATAGATAAAATTCATTGACTGACAAAAAAAAAAAAAATTATGCTGCGATAATGTCTTTGATCTGACCATATTTTTTAACTATTCTTTTTTCTTTTCTTTTTTTTAATTACTTTAACTATACGAATTATGCTGAATGATGAAAACTCATCCCAAATTTTACCCCAAATAAGTTGCATGATGTCAATTTAAAATTAGTGTGATATGAGTTGTACCTAAAATGATTGTGAGCCACATATTTGTTTTTCTGAATTTATAGCATTGTGATCCACGAATGTGTTCTTCTGAATATATTTGTAAGTTTGTAGGATTGTTGTAACTTTACTCTCCATGTCAACTCCATATCCACTGCGGAAAAAAACAAACAAACAAACTCTTCATCCAAATTAAAGTAACATGGCAAGCCATGTTGTTGGTAGAGAACTTCGGGGGTTAGCTTAGTGGGTATAATTTGAGATTTAGGGGTGTGTTCCTTCTAAATCTCAGATTTAATTTTTATTAGAAGCAATTCGTTCCCGAGATTAGTCAAATACGTATGAACAGACCCGAACGCCCGGCCATCAAAAAAAAAAAAATGTTAGCTATAGAGATGGAAAAAAATTCATCCAAATTAACTTTTCTCCCAATCTCAACCAAGCTGAACCGATTACATCTCTACAGGACCTTAACCAAGAATCACTCCACATTAATTTCAATTTATTTTCAATCATTAAGCATATAAATACGATATACATGATCACTTGCTTTGCCTTTCCCGGCAAGCCCACAAAATTACAAACTACATGTCATAGGCTATAACAAATTCCAGCATTGTTCCTCCACATTAAAATTAACGTCAATGGTTGACAACGTTTTCAACGGTCCCTATTCTACAACCCAATGTGTCCAACTGGCCTATGTAGTTTAACCCATCACCACTCTATACATATATAGGTTCCAAACAAGCTATAGCACCAAAAATTAATCAAATTTAAGACAATCCAACATTCACTTTCTCACCATCTATGGCTTCTCAGTTTTCATCTCCTATTTTTGTTGTCTGTTTCGCCATTTTGGCAATGTCTGTCATGGCAGAGGACATGCCCGGAATGCCTGGTATGCCAATGACCCCAGCCCCTAGCCCTTCTCAAGGCACCTTCACTTCTCTTCCATCGACCGTGGCTGGAGTCCTTGCTTTGGTTGTGTCATTTCTCATAATTAAGGAAAGAGTTTGAGCTTTCCCTTTTTCTGTGTATTTTTGTGTTTGTTTGTTCGTGTTCGTGTTTGTTCTTGTTTCTGGTCTATACGTGTCACTTTAGTCCTTAATAGTTCTTACTACTATGTAATCTCTATCCATTTGGTTGTGTATACTCATGTTTCGAAAGTTTAATATGTTTGATATTTTATAATAACTATAACTATTAATCTTTATTTACCTCCACTGTTTTTGTACTGTGATGTTTTTTAACTGCTGGTTTAAATACATGAGATATGATCTACTTCAAAATTCAGTGCAACTCTGTTTTCCTCTGCCTCAAGGGCATATAGTTCCTTTGCCACAACACACAAAAGTGTTCTTGTTTGCTATGCAGGACTATTTAGACCATGTTTATTTTCAAGGACATAACCTTGAGACTGGATTAATAAATCAAAAAAATACATAATCTTAACCAAAGAAAATTTGGGTTCAGATTCAGACTAATAGTCGGGAATATCGAATCGCAAGGGGCATGAGATGCAACATGGAGGGACAAAGGAGAGGTTCAAACCAATTGGCAAAATTACAAAATCGATAAGATTTTGTCAATAATCTCTCCAATAATCCTGAGCCAATCCAAGCATGAGATAATACACAATCCAAAAGGATTGATAATCTCATGACTAATAGTCATAAAAATGCTAATCCAATCTAATCTAGTCCAAACAAACATGACTTAAAGTCTCTATACTGTATGATATCCAATGTTAGGTGCAAAAATTCATTTATTGATGCCATCAATTTCCTTTGCAAACCACTCTCAATTTACCAATTTTAAGGGCATGCAAATCCAAACATTTAGGAATTTTCGACATACCGGGCTCAAACGTTAAAAAAAAAAATTTAAATAAATAAATAAATTGACAACATTAAAAAATAAATAAATTTATACTGCAGTGTACAAGTGTGTACAAAACAATTTTGTTTCATATACTTGTATATGTTGATTTCGAGATTACCAAGCTTAAAGATCAAATTTTTGCTAGAAAAAAAATGATTTCGAGATGGAAAATTACAGAAGAACAATCCAAGGAAGATACTGATAAGCTAATACGAATCTCTAACTAGAGTGAGTACTTGGCTTTCTTGTCAAATTCAAGAGGTATGAATAAGCAAATGAAGCATGTATTGCTGCCCCAGTAGGCAGCACATCCTCATCGATGGAAAAGTAAGGACTATGCGCAGGATATACCGCTCCAGTTTTCTCATTTCTTGTGCCAATCGAAAGGAATGATCCAGGAACCTTTTCTTGGTAAAACGCAAAATCTTCACTTCCCATGGAGCAAGGAGATAGTCTTACACCTTCTTCACCTACAATCATACTTGAGACACGTTGCACGTGTTCATATATTCTTTCATCATTTACAGTTGGAGGAATTGTGGGATGTTCATCTCCAGAGAAGTCAATCTCAGCTGAGCACCGATGTACAACTAGTCGAGGTATGCACAAACTAACCTAGACACCCGGTCATCAAAAAAAGAAAATGTTAGCTATAGAGATGGAAAAAAATTCATCCAAATTAACTTTTCTTCCAATCTCAACCAAACTGAACCGATTACACCTCTACAGGTCCCTAACTAAGAATCACTCCACATTAATTTCAATTTATTTTCAATCATTAAGCATATAAATACGATATACATGATCACTTGCTTTGCCTTTCCCGGCAAGCCCACAAAATTACAAACTACATGTCATAGGCTATAACAAATTCCAGCATTGTTCCTCCACATTAAAATTAACGTCAATGGTTGACAACGTTTTCAACGGTCCCTATTCTACAACCCAATGTGTCCAACTGGCCTATGTAGTTTAACCCATCACCACTCTATACATATATAGAGGTTCCAAACAAGCTATAGCACCAAAAATTAATCAAATTTAAGACAATCCAACATTCACTTTCTCACCATCTATGGCTTCTCAGTTTTCATCTCCTATTTTTGTTGTCTGTTTCACCATTTTGGCAATGTCTGTCATGGCAGAGGACATGCCCGGAATGCCTGGTATGCCAATGACCCCAGCCCCTAGCCCTTCTCAAGGCACCTTCACTTCTCTTCCATCGACCGTGGCTGGAGTCCTTGCTTTGGTTGTGTCATTTCTCATAATTAAGGAAAGAGTTTGAGCTTTCCCTTTTTCTGTGTATTTTTGTGTTTGTTTGTTCGTGTTCGTGTTTGTTCTTGTTTCTGGTCTATACGTGTCACTTTAGTCCTTAATAGTTCTTACTACTATGTAATCTCTATCCATTTGGTTGTGTATACTCATGTTTCGAAAGTTTAATATGTTTGATGTTTTATAATAACTATAACTATTAATCTTTATTTACCTCCACTGTTTTTGTACTGTGATGTTTTTTAACTGCTGGTTTAAATACATGAGATATGATCTACTTCAAAATTCAGTGCAACTCTGTTTTCCTCTGCCTCAAGAGCATGTAGCTCCTTTGCCACAACACACAAAAGTGTTCTTGTTTGCTATGCAGGACTATTTAGACCATGTTTATTTTCAAGGACATAACCTTGAGATTGGATTAATAAATCAAAAAAATACATAATCTTAACCTTTTAGCCTACTTGCGAGTAGCAAATCCAAAACATTTTCCAAAACAAACGGATATGCAATGATTCTTTCCAAATTAGGCAATCTAGTCTATACTTGTTTGCTGTGCGCATAACATAGTAATTCTAGGCTAATAAATGGAATAAGAACACATAAAGTTTTCAAAAACGGATATCACGGTTAGTAGAGGCCGATCTTCGGATCGGGCGAGAGGGGGTGCTCATAGCTGACCTTCCCCAATCGTACCCTAGCTCCCGAGCCGAGACAACTCCGGTGATGACGGACATGTGGCCTTCGGCACCGAGTCAGGGTTTCCTAAATTCCCCCATAAAAAATATTTAGGTGGCGACTCTGTATCTGGCAAAGCAGTTCATGTTTGGCACTACTTTTTCAAAAATCTGTTTTTCTCAAAACGATTTGCCAGATTTGGACTCTTTGGTTCAAGATTAAGAACCGTGACACAAATCGAGTCCGAACTGTAGCGAAGGCCCCTCGCGGGACGCGTCTACAGTTTCTGGCGACTCTGCTGGGGACTTTTAGAGAGCTTGACTCGAACTCGTGATATCCTGTTTTGATTACACTCATGTGTTTCTTTGCATTGCATGTGCATTGGTGCGCCTAGGAACACAGTGTTTGCCATCTGCCATTCCTGAACGGTTTGCCGGAGGCTTGTCTTGTCAAGGCATGACCATAAGGCTGACCGGCTATGGGCTCTGACAGCATGGGAACACAAACCCCGATTTTTACCGAGGCACCCTTTTCGACCATTCGACCTAGTGCATATTCGGATCCATAGTGACCATTCCGAATTAAGACAGGTTGCTTACCCGATGGTTAGGTTGTTTGAAAACCGCCGTGTGCGTAGTGAAACCCTAGCTCCTGACAAAATAGGACAGGGAAACCCTACCCCAACATAGGGGTGTTTTGGCTCTCTTTACTTGCTATGTGCTTTTAGAACGTATCTCTACAGGGAAAGTGCATATCAGTTTGCAAGTTTGAGTATCAGACCTGAGGACACCAGTATCAGTGTCAGTTATGAGAATCAGTTATCTGCGGGTATCAGAGTTCAGTTTTCGGGAACAGTGATTTCTGGGGAACAGTGATCAGCAGTAGAGTACAGTTGTTCAGCTACACCCGTGTTTGATCTGTTTGGGCTGAAATGCTGTTTGTTTCTCCTTTCAGTTCAGAGTGTCCAGAATCGGCACAGAATAGCTAGCGCTCCCCCTTGCCGCGGCAAGGCTTATGATGACGCAGAATTCAGAAGAGATCGTAGTTATGACAACTGCATTAGAGCAGGGGATCACCCTGCAAGGTGAGACCAGCATTGATGTGTCACATCTACCTAGGTCGCCTGTTGTGCACCCAGGTTGGGCTCCCCAGTTATACCAGGCTCGCGAGCCTACTACATTTGAACTGATGGGGATGATAGGTGATCTCCAAAGGTCTGTGGCGGATCTCGCCTACGGAATGTCAGTTTCACCTCCAGCCGCACCGTATGCCGGGAGTTTTGTACCCCAGGAGCCCCCGCTGTTGGGGCGAATTGTGATTGAACTTAGCCAACCGGAGATGGCCTCCAACCATGGAAATGACATGCCAACATCAACCCAAACCCTCGATCAGGCTGAGGCCAGAGGAAAAGACAAAATGAAGCAGATTGCCGATCCAAGGTTGCGCATCTCAAAGAGTAAGAGGCTTTGAAAGTCGGGGGGATGAACAAGCAACAGATATCCGCAGTTGTGGCAAAAACTGTGGAGGATGCTTTCCCCACTCTACCTGAGGGTAGTTCGAGTCAGTCAGAAAATCGGGATAGGCCCCATCATGCCAAGACAGTTCCTCCTATTCCTGCCCCTGCACCTGGGAAAGATCAGAAAGCTAAAGTGACGCCTGCCGACCCTTTCGCTTGTGCAGCTAGTAAGAGCGCTCAGACCCCAAAGTACCTGCCCCGGGGGCGCAGGACCTTTCATGCTCTCTATATGCCTTTGTCCAAGGCACTTCAGATCCTTGCCGAGAGGGGACACCTTAAACCCTTGGAGCCTCGGCCTCTCCCGAAGAATCTCCCTGCCACGCATGATGCTGCTCAGTACTGCGCGTACCACCAGCAGACGGGCCATGCGACCGACAATTGCTTCCGCCTCCGTCATGAGGTCCAAGATTTGATTGACAACGAGGTTATCCTCCCGCCCACCTCAGCCAAGTCCGTTACCACCCAGCTATTGGACTTTGAGGACACAGATACTGCAAGTATGTAATCAGAAGGTGAACCACCTGCGGGCGGCATCTGGATGTATTTTGAATGAAGCGTATGGCACGCATTTTTGAGTAGCTGTGAACGCTAGCTTTGTAAATCTTGGCTTGGGTATCGAGTCAGTCTTTTGTTTTGAGTCTGTCTTTTTGTCTTGAGTCAGTCTTTTGCTTAAGGGTCTGTCTTGTTATAGCGAGTCAGTCCCCTTTGAATAGAATACCAGGTGATTCTGGAGTTGTTGTCCCGAACACCGTTTTGTCTTGTAATTACCTGTTTTTGTTTTTTGAGTCTGTTTCTGTCGAAGGGCCAGTTACACCAACAAATCCGAATGAAACAGCTGTTGCTATCTCACTTTCATGCTTGCTTTCAGTTTAAGTGCCAGAGAATTTGAATGGGCTGACAGTACATCTCGCCTGCTCTCCCGCGCGCCAAACTCATTGCATTAACCTAAGATTTTCAAAAAAAAAAACCTTTTGGAACACTGCGGTGATGAAAACGAAGAGGAAGGAATTCCTCAGGTTTTGCAAAATTTTAATCATTTTGAGAGAAAGAGAGGCATGTTAAGCCCTTTTATGAATGAAACCATGCTTGTCGGCATGAGTACTGAGAAGGATCCTGGCTTGATCCAGATTGGTTCCACATTATCTTCGGCGCGAGCGATTTGTCACTTTCTTAAAAACTTTCACAAACAAATGTTTTACGCGGCCCTGTGAAGACCTGTGTGGAATCGCTCTTGAGATTGCGCAGCCTAGGATCGCTCTCAGCCTCAAGATTCAACCCGTTCGTTTTCAAACTTTGAACCCGTTCAGAACGTTCAGAAAGTTCAACGGTCAAACGTCATGCAAGGTCTGTATGGCCAGATCAGGGGCAGCCCACGAGCAAAAGGCACCAAAGCCAAATCTGCATCAAAGGAGTAGATCTCACCAGAAGGAGCTCGTGGAGCAGCCACGATGGATTCTCCCACAAATTAGTACAACAGCCGTTCTCCTAGACACAGAGAGACTTCAACTTCAAAAACCATTTGGCATGGACTTGTTACACTTTTACCCTTGAGAGGCTTGCTGGGCCGAAAACCCGGAAGGGCGGCCCAGGCAAAAGTTAGAGCAAGAAAAGAATACAGAAAAGAAAAGAAAAAAAAAAGAAAAATACAAAAAAAAAGAAAAGAAAAAGAGATGAACAAAAAAAAAAATCGAAAAGAAGCTCGCAAGGTCGAAAACCCGCATCGGGCGCCTTGGCAAAAGTTAGAGCCTAAAAAGTGAAGGTTAAAATACCCGAGTGTACCTTAACCGGAACTACGTGAGGCTTGATTCCTATGTTTGGGATACGTAGGCAACTTCATCATGAAGTCCAGCCCCCAACGCTTTCATAGCGTCTCAGTCCATGCAATGGATTCAATTTCATCCCAAAGTCTGATCGCCAACGCTCCCAAGGCGACTGTGTCCATATATTTGTTGTGACCGTCTTTGTCATCGCTGTGTCCAAGAGCTCGACCACCGCCAATGAAGACTGTTTGCGGATTGCTGCGGCATCATCCAAACAAGGGGCAACTTTCCGTTGCCACGAGCCGTCGTGAGCCGCCATTCAAACCAGGGGCAACTTTCCGTTG